ATATATATATATATATATATATATACCAGTAAATTGGGCACACACACGAGCTCAACTGCACACATTATCTTGACATGTACGTAATCGCATTGAAGGGGGAGGGGGTCACTATCTTGCCGCCGGTTCTATATCACCAATGGCCGGCTGTTTCACTCGCCACTCGATGACGGAAATAGCGGCTGTGGCTGCTATCGCTCCCGCTTGAACGCACTACAAGCAGCCGCTGGAGCACGCGGGCCACGCGTTCACGTGTTCCCTTTCATAAACATTGACACTGTACATTTCAAGTCAAATGAAGGTGTGATTGCACAAAATGGAAGCATCATTGTTTCACTTTGGCTGTCGGACAAAATATTTCGGAATGTGTAAAGCCTGCAGCATAGGTCAAGCCCTGGAAAACTACGGGGTGTCTCTCTTTTTTTTTCCCCTGTCATTTCGGCTCGCGAACGAGATTGTATACACAATGTTTGTTGAACTGGCGGCCATTGTCGGATTTGTCAATACTCAAACATAATTTTTGTAAGCTTCGGTAGTGGGGGCGGGGGGCTGAGGGTGATTTAACGGAAGCACCTGCGCGAGATAACACGGGAAAGACAGCCCAGAGACAAAACATATTTCGGTGAATAGTTTTATGAGCAAACGGGCGGCAGAAGTAACCTGGCTCTTGTTAGGGGAACATTGCTGTTTCGAACATGACCCATAGTCAAATTACATAGGTCGCGAAACTTGGAACGAAAGGTGTCAAGAACTTATTGGCACAGGCATCAACTCCCACCGACTATTGAAGCGCGACTTGGTGAGTATGGGTAAAAAAAAATCGACACGAAAAACTCAATATGTTTTTTTTATTTCAATTACCCGCAATTTTATTAGTGTCAAAATTAGTTATACATTTACTTCAAAGTTTATATGACACTTCACTAGACTAATTGTCTTATTATTATTTTTTTTGGTTCAGTGCCATGAATGGGCAGCGTATTCAGGCAATCTGCTATCAGGGCTTGAGTTCGGCGCATTGCTGCGTGAACAAGGCATTGCTCGCTTTTGCGTAGTGACTTCGTGTGCACCTACCGAAGTTCAATTATTTGCTCATGTGCCACTCACTGGTGTGACATGTGAGCCTGAAGTAGCTCACATAATGTGAGCCGCTCCTGTGACTGCCGATTGCATTCGCTGATGCACAGCCGGCGTGCCCTCGTGTTTGGTGACGATAAATGCGACACGCTGACGAACGACACGTAGTACGCTATACGGCTGCAAGAGTGATAGTCTCAAGGGTACTGTCTCGCTGCAATGGTTTTTCACGATTGGGCAACGTGCGTTTTCGAATTATTGGGCTACTGTGTTCGTGAACAGTTATATCAGGATTTCTGCGTCTGCAATGTTTTCGGTGTATATTGCAAGTGCACTATTTAGCTAATAAAACAACCTCGCTTTTCTGTTGGTCTTCTGTGACGCAGTAAACGGACTGCGCACGCAATTAGCGAGCCATAGGACGTAATAAAATCACGTATAACGACACGTAAAAGGCCAGCAACTGAAAAAAACACAATTTTGGGCAATGTAGCACAAGTGCACGACATCGCTGCCACTTTCGTTTCTGATGTCACTTTTTACTTTTCGTTTCTTGTTAGTTTTCCCCTCCGTACGTAGATGGCGATGGTGGCAATGAGCTGCCAACTACTGCATACATGGGCTTCTATGGAAGTTACGCTACCAGATTCCATATATTTTGCATGGGCCGTGTTCACCGGGCTTTGTAGATGATTAAGCGGCGTAAAACACTGTCCATTCGAGCAGATGATGCTGCAGGACTGATCGACATTGCGCTCTCTGCAGGTTCCGCGAGGGCTTCAAGCGTGTCTTCTGCTGCCTGGCCTTCAGCGACCGGGAAACTGCGCAGCTGCGCCAGCACATGGCGGCCACGCGCTACTCGTGCTCAGAGCCGTACGCCGACACTCGGGTCACGTTCAACGGGACCGCCACGGCCGTCCCGCTGCACACGCTCACGGAGACCATGAGCGCAGGGAACCTGACCGCCGGCGGCCCGGCAAAGTTCAGGGGCTGCGGCTCGGACGTGTGACGAATGCTGCCGCCGGCCCGGTCGGCCCGGCTCGTCGCGCACGCCACTGCGGCGGCGCACGACCTCTGAGTCCGCGGCGAGCGGCTTCTTGGCTGAACGATGCTCGGGCGCGCACAATGGGCCCTTACCGCGCGTCGATCAGAAGCCAGCCAGCATGCCACTGCGGGTTTGCGCTTACACTGGATGCGCCGCGCATCTGTCCGGTTGTCCCCTCGGCCCTTTCTTTTATTTCGTCTTCTAGCTTACATCATGGCCACTTTCATCACCCCCACTCTATTTTACTCTCACGGGTGTGATTCGAGGAAAATATTGCCGACGACAAGAAAGAACATTCTTGCTGACCAAATGAGGCAGTACGTAAACTCGGGTTTCGATCGCGCAGGTTGCAGGGACGAGGACGTTCGAAAATAAGAGGCGAGAGTGGGGTGGGGGTGAGGGGGAGGGCAATATTGGTTGTTGTCAATCTTGCAAGAGATGAGGAAAGGGTAATAAGGATGGCACGTAGGCAACGCACGGCTAGAACAGCAAACAAAACCCAAGCATACCAACTAATTAAATCGTGTTTTCATACATATCTTCATTTCTGGCGGTGTCGTCCCGCTTCGTAAGGTCCGGCCTACGCCCTAATTTAATAAATGCTTATCAGTAGCAGGGTACAGAAGGCAGGCCACAGTCGCGCCACAAGGGGAACGCCGGTCAGTTTCTATGCGTGCGAGTTTTGACGGCATCCATTTGTACAGCGCACCGTAGTCGGCGAATGCCGGTACAGGCGGGGGCACGAGGAGCTGTTGTGCTGATGTGTCGGCTCGGCTGTTGTGCTAGTGCTGTCGCTGTGTCGAACTTCGCGTTTAATTCTTGTCCGTTACTCATAAGGACAGTGCAGAGCGTTTTCTTAAGCGTTTCCTGACGACGTCCTGTAATGTGTCCCCTATAGTATCACTCTTTCTGGAATGTATGGTATACGCACTAAACGGACTGCAAAAAAAAAAAACATCAGGATTCAGAATGATTTTATTTTGTGCACCTCAGTATATATCGCCTGTACGAGCGATGACATGAGGAGCTCTGTGCAGCAACAACATGGTCAAATAACCTCGGATTTTGTGGAGACAATTCATGTGCTCTGAAACCGATGGTGATTTAACAGTTGCCGTGATCACGGCGCCTGTATGAAAAGAAAAAGAAAATCTATACGAGATCAAAGCTTGCCCACATCCATAGGTTTATAAGCTCTAAGCTTATCACCAAGTCAAGACGGATCTTTTTACGTGGGTGTGTTTTCGTGAACTACCAAACTTTACTTGTAAAAAAGTAGGGCTCCCTTCAGCCTAGTCATTTGCACACATTTGTTCTTGCGTTTGCTTTTAACAATGAAGATCATGTCGGGTTAACTTTCCCCACTGCGTGAGCTCAACTGCCGAGACACTCGTAAATCCATCTATCATGTCGAGCTCATCGTTTCTCGTAATTTTTTTTCTTTCCTGAGAAAAAAAATGTCGAATGTTTAAGAATGTCCTTACCAATAACAAATTACGGAGCAAGCCTATACCACCTGTGTAAAACTCACTATTGTTTGCCACTTTTCGTTTCTCTACGTGTACCAGGGTCGTTCACTATGGTGAGACACAATTTTAAATCAGACAGTTGTTGAATGTTGCTGGTTGAATCTACCTTGCTAAAGCATAATATAATGAGTACTAACAGATAATATTACCAGGGAATGTATAGAAGATGGTAATATTAGTAAATGTGATCTAAATGTGAAGACAAAAGTGGATGGAAAGATAACTTGCCGTGGACAGGGACCAAACCTGAGATCTTCAAATGACGCGTCCGATGATCTACCAACTCAACTACCACGGCAGCCATCTGCCCGTTCATTTGGTATATGGTAGACTTAAGTGTGGGAGCACCAGCCAGTGCCGCCAGTAGCTATTACGACACGTGGGGAACGTTCTTCTTCTGCAGAAAAAGAATGTTTTACGCAATTCCTTCAGGCAACATAGGCATGTCCGAGAGGGCTTTTATTTCATTCCAGAACTATTGTATTTTATCGCGTATGCATGCCTTGTGTCCGCTAGTATTTCTTAGGGATAGCTATTTCACGCAGAACTATGGAAGTTATCATCGCCTCCTTGTTACACGGAAGAATACTATATTGCTTGTATGTAAGTTTACGTCACCTTCATTGAGTCAAGTCAATCTAGCAAAGCGTGCATCCTTCTGTTTGTTTTTTATTGACACGATCGTTCTAAAATGTTCACAATTTATGTTCACCTATATACTGTTTGGTCATTTTACACCGTTAGCTCTTCATTCACCTTTTTGCTCACTCAATTTTACGCGTTGCTTGCCAACAAACTTCCTGTCACTTCTATTATCGCTCTAATCGCTAACATCATAGCAGCAAGCTTTTTCTATGTATACTGGTAGAGCAAGAAAAGGCTATTTTTCCGCTTTCAGATCAAAGAAAGACACCTAAAATGAGAGGATATCTTTAATAATGTTGTGCACAGCCTAGCAGTAAATTTATTTGAATTATTCGGCCACTTTTAGGAGGAAACGTGTTGAAAATGAGCGCGCTGCCCACATGAAATTCTTGTCTTTCGCCAATGCAATGCGTCGACTCACGAAATCGTACGCCATCCAGGACCTGTGTTTCTATACTACCTGCTGCTTCAATTTGGTAGCTTTATCTGTATTTATTCCTTTGGTAAAATTAGAATTAAACCACTGAGTCATTTTTATGTCGCACCACGTGAACTAAGACATGAAGAAAAACGAGCATGATTGGCAGTTTTTAAGTTCTGTTCGCTGAAAGGTTCCCGTACAGCTAGCCTTTGTACTCACGCTAAGAAGCCACATGTTGTCACAAGAAGCCATTAAAACCAGCTATGGACGACATTGTGAGGCTGTCAGATACGTCTCTTGCACTCCATGGTATATTATGGGTGGTTTTCAGCGCCTAAATGTCTAAACATTTGCACCTTAAGCCGTACAGCTGCTTGCCGTTGCACAGCTGCAATAATTCACTTGGTGTACCTCTTGGCGGATCTCATAAACACATTTGCATTCCATAATGCCACAGTTCAGAAAGTATATTATTATCCGATAAAAAAATTTGGCTCTATCGAGTTACGTTTCGCATTGAAGTCCTTCAATATTTGAAAATCTTCTTGGAGTATACGTCTGAACACTTGTCCCATTACGCTGCTTCAGTTTATTAGCGCCGAGCTCGAAGAATGCCGTCAAACCGAAAGCGCAATTTGGTGGTGAGGCAAGTTAAAAGAGCACTCATGCCAAAATTTGAAACTCGAAAAAATGTGGGCTTTTTGGTTCTCATGCATGCTATAGTACCACTGATCGAGTGTTAGAACAAATATTGTCTAGTATATATTTTAATGTGGTTTTGAAGTAATAGGCAATGCTCATATAAGTTGGTAGCACCTCGTGATATCATCGCTCCTATGACAGTGCTGGGCTGTATAGAATACTCAAAGTATCTGTGTTATCTCCATCAAATCACGCCGGGGTGACCTGGTTAGCTGTTTTGGTCAATCGTCATTGTGTCTAAGGGCTGCGATGCGTACCGGTGCGATTAGTTAAAAAGGCCGTTAGATACTATATTATAAGTACTCCTTGGGTATCTCGTATCTGTACCATAATACGTATCGTAAGACATGCATCAGTATCTTCATTTCAGATACATGAAATATTGTAACATGGCTCTCAAGATTCAACATACTGCTATCACAACACCACCATGAGAAACAATAAATGGTGACTGAGCTCCGCTTTTCAAGCTCATACTGCGGCCAATAAACCACCCGAATAAAATTAAAGGCAGCAACGTTACTTTATAATTCCGCTAGAGTCCGCCAGCAAGGGCCGGCGATCAGGTCGGCGCGTCCCTACATGGATCAGCAGAGTCACGTGGTGGCACTCGCGCCCCTATGTGGCAACGCCGTCTTAGCGAAAAAGAGTGCTAACGTCGATCTGTAGGGACTTTTTTTGTTTTCTATACTTTCTTTTTCTCTAAAGTGGTGTTGATGCCATAACACTTGCTCGTAGCCACTGTACTGTGCTGTGTAATGTAACGCGTGCGCTGTTCATTCCGCAAATTCTAATTCCTCTATGGTGTCGTCATCGAAGGTTCCCTCACGTGGTGCTTTGCTATGAAGTCTGAAGAATACAATAATGTGCTTACCTTAGATTTTGTGTTTATCGCACAGCAGCGATTTGAAATATATCGCTGATGCAACTGTGACTCACGTAAGATCAGATTGATTTATTGCAAATGAGATTCTAGTAGTTATCACACCACAGGTACCATTGCCAGAAGTAAAGGACAAACATTTATCCGGCAGAAGATATATGGGCGCACTGCGTCTTTGTGTTTTCTGCTGTCTGTTTTGAAAGATATGTTAAAATTTTAATTTGATTGTTAGTACGACCCTTTCTCTGGCGGTCCTTGTTTTGCATCCTATACATTACCTATGTCAGTGTAGAGCATTTTCCCGTTATGTTAGCGTGAATGGACATGCTGCGAAGATAACTTATCGCCTTTAATCTTTTCCTTTAACTGTCTACGTTATTACTAGTATTTACAAACTCACATTCCATTTTACTTTATTTTTATGTCAAGGTGATGTACAGGACAAATGTCGAGTAATCTGGGCTTCCTCAGAGCACACAGTAGCAAAAGTTCTGCTTATTAAAAAATATTTAAATGGGTTTTTCATTACAATAATGGGAATTATTAGGAGCCGTGTTGTAGCCGCTTGGAAGCGGGTTGCATAAGTGTTGTTATATCAAGTACTCTATTTTTCCCATGGGCGTCCCAACTAGCCTTTCTATTATCTTTTTTATTGTAACTAAGTTTTCTATTGCATGTCCTTAGCAGGTCAGTTGATGGTACTTTATATTTGTCAGGAATATTAGGGCTGCTGCGTGTATTATATTTGTATACTTATTCACTGTGATTGTTTTATTCTGAACTGCCATCTATTTCACTTACATTTCCTGTCCCTTTTTTAGGTCACCCTAAATTTTTTTATCGCTACAAATTGCAAGAGGTAAAATTCACAAAACTTTTTTTTTGTAAGTGCGTTTCACCATTGCTCAAGCGGCTTCACTAATGTCCGGTATCGTCATTGGCCAAAATTTTTTCTTAACGGAAATTTTTAGCGCACGGGTCCAGGTAATCAGAGCTACAAGTGGCAGTAGAGGTGACGCATTGTACTAAAGTGCTTATTTGGGCCGGTTGGTACATGGTCAACGAAGTGAAAAAACAGCGCGTAACACAGGACACAGGACAGAGAAGAGACGGACGAGGCGCTGACTTACAACCTTGAGGTGACGCATTGCGATGCTGTGTGCCACTCTACATACGTGTGAGAGGTTTCTGAGCTGCACAA